TTGAAATGGAAATACAAAAACAAATTGGCCCAGGAGCAAACTCCTCATGATTTTGTCACACAATAGTTTCACAAGACCTACATCATCAAAGGGTCCTTTGTTTGCATATCTTCACCTCTCATTAATACTGGTTCTATAGATCAAATATGCTCTCGTCAGTGACAGAAGATACAGAAATAAGCCATCAAAGACCGTAACACAAACACAACATTTGTAACACAAACATTTCAGTTATCTAAGGTCTGCTACAGAATGTATTTTAAGAAGTTGCCATGGTTCAACAACAACATGTTTCCAAGGAGAACTGTTTCCTGAAGCTTGTGAGTCAGAATTTATTAGGAGGCGAAAGAACCTGGAATTTGAAGAGGTGTTCTGAACATCTTTTTGTCTTGCTATGCCTACTCATCACCAGAAGAGGGTGTGCTGCATCTATGCTGATAAATTCCTGTGTTTGTTCATATTCTGTTTGATTTTGCTATGCTGTTCCTTATTGTTTGGTCCCACTTTATAGATCTTTCTTTTCTTGTTTTGCAGGTATGCTGTGATATGGGAGGAATGATTCTGGTGATCATTCTTGTCACCTGGCAAGAAGAGACCTTTCCTTGACACATCATTATCATCATCATCTTAGAACTACAGAGCTGGAAGGGACCCTATGGATCATCAAGTCCAGCCTCTCTCAAAGAAACACAGTAGGGAATAGAACTCCTAACCTCTGGTTCTGCGACCAGATACCTAAACCACTGAACTATGCAGCAGTATGCTCTCATACTAAATGAATAACTTATTCTTCTTTATAACCTTTCCATGCTCTTTTTTTCCATATACCCTTTCCACAATCTAAGAAATCAGGAAATGACAGGGCTGTTCTGCAGCTTCCCACATGCTATGAAGGTGGCAAGGCTGGGTGTGTGAATACTAGATGCACATGCAAAACAGATTTGTCTTTTTTTTTTCTTTTGAAAAGTGCTGCTGTCTTATAGTCAGTCCCTATTATAGAATTTACTGATTTAAATACGTCAGGGTCTCGGGTCTTTGCCAGCTGAACAACCCAAGTTCTTTAATTACAGGTGCCAAAATTACAAGGTCCCATTCTTATCATTCTTGGGAATGAAAAACTAACAAATGTACAGGAACTGTTCTTCCTTAGATGTCTACAAGAGATTGTAAAAATTGCTAATTGTGGGCTAGGGGAGAAGAACTGTCGGAATGCAGTTGTCAGAAGTTCCACTAGACAGCTTGCCTGCACATATAGGCGTTTCTGCTAAGACCCAGCACTGAAACCACAAAGAAGCAATAACAGGCGGAGGGGCTTGGTGTTGTGTTCTAAGCCTGTTTCCAGATCCGGAATCTATAACAGCTAAATAGGGCTTCTTCATAGCTCCTCAGGCAAACTAGCCCATGTGTTCCCCTACCACTATGACAATGGAGACCCTTAGACTTTGAGACCAAATCACATCTTCCTGGAGTCTGCAACTGGTCCTTTGGGATTCTCCAGATGATACTGTACTCCTGTTTAGTGCTTCCCCAGCTTTGGTACAGTATTCTTCCCGTTTTAAGAGTCAGGAATGCCTGTCCTGAGGTTGGGTTTTTGGCCATATGCAGTTGATCTAAAACATGCTACGTATTCTTGACCCTAGCCTTTTGACTCATTCACCGTGAGTGGCCCCACCACTCAAGGTCATTTCTGAATTTGACTATTGGAAAGAAGCTGAATTATTCATTGTCATCATCATCTTAGAACTTCAGAGCTGGAAGGGAGCTTATGAATCATTGAGTCCAGCCCCTCTCAAGGAGACACAGGGGGAATCAAACTCCCAACCTCTGACTCTGCAACCAGATACCTAAACCACTGAGCTATCCAGCAGTTCTAGCTCTCCTCCTATAGGCCTTCAAACAAATGTAGAAAATCCAAAGCTAGTCCTGTGTGGGCTTCCCTGCTTCAGTCCAAAATAAAAATCTGGAGAGTTTCAGAATGCTTTCTATTTCATTTGACTTTGTTGCTGTTGTTTTATTTATCTATTTTGCATTTCCATTCTGGTTCTAAGATGCTGACGGGAGCAGAGAATGAAGCAGGTTTCCTGTGCATGGATACCACAAATATCTCTCTTGACTCACCTGCAGAACAAGTGGTTGATAGTGTGTTGAGTGAGGTGACAAGATACATTCAGAATTCTGCACGATATGAAAGGAGCATACACACACATCAGTACCTTCTCCACCCTAGCAACAGCATAGGTTTGCTTACTTAGCTCCTTTTGCTTGTGTGCGGGTAAAGTACTGCATGTTTATAGTTGGAGTATGACTACATATACAACTTACTTTCCAGTGGTTGCTACCTACATTTTTTTCCATGTTCATGAAAGGTAAGCAAAAGTCAGAAATACATGCAAACTACTAGCTTATGTTAGTTAGAAACCTCATCTCTTTCAAAGTACTATGTGATAATGTCTCTCTTTTCCTATTTAGACCAGTGGAACTAAGCAGCCCAAAATCTAAGCAATGTATTAGATTGTGGTTAGGATTCCCTGGTAGCTTTTACAGTGTGATCTTAAGGAATATAGCTAGCACACTCTTATTTTTGTGCATCTACTTGTCTCCAAGTTCTTGAAGAAGTGACCTTTTTAAAAAAAAATCAGCAAAGCCGATACATTCTTGTTCCTTCGATTGCTGCGTAACTGCAACTATAAAGTCCTAAAATTATCTGCAGTGGAGCACAGGAAAATGTGACAAAGTCCTTCAGACACATTCACATTGTTTACCTAGTACCACCTCTCCCATCTAATCTTGATACTGGATTAGATTAGGACACTGTTTAAGGATGAATAATAAACATCATCAGTTTTTAGTGGAATTGCTGTTCTAGCTGTTCTTTCCAGCAGCTGAATTTTATTCATTTTAAAAACCTGCCTGCTGGAAACAGTAAGAATAGTGAGGTGCAGTAGGATTTATCGGTGTTAAATGAATTCAAAGATGGAGAACATACAGCTCTCAAACTCTTTCTCAACCTCACCACTTTTTAAAAAAAAATTATTTTTGTTTTAAAAAAATCAACCACTAGGGGGCATGAGGGGACACTTTCAGTTTTAAAAACAATAACAGTTAAACTTATTTTTGTTAACAAAAAAAGTAGCAAACTTTACAGTAATAATTAATAACCATTGCATTTTACATATATTCACATTACAGAATGCATCCATTAGGGTGTCAGCAGGTCTCAAAAATGATCTTGTTGAGGTTACCCATCTCTAGTTTGCAGTTTCTCCTTTCTCTGTGAAGACAAAAAGCCTCTTGGGGACCCCTGTAAATCTGTCCACCACTATGGCTAACAGTGTCAACATTTGGTAGTTCTGAAATAGGTGTAAGGTGCACTGCAGGAGGAATTAAAGGTTGAGTTAAATAGTATTAAAAGTCCATGTGGTATAAACATTAGCATATTAGACTGGGACTCAGGTGACATGTGTTCAAATCTCCATTTAGCCATAGAATTCACTGGCTGGCTTTGGACCAGTCCTCAGACTAAATTACTTCCCTGAGTTGTTGTGAAAATAAAATGTAGAGGAAAAGAGCTATATATCTCACCTTGAGCTTATTAGAGGAATAAATGCTAGGAATAGCCTATGTGGAAGAACACTGAATTAGTTGTCTCTATGCTCTGATGATTTTAATGAGAACATTTAGTCATTAGTTACTATCTTAATTCCCTTGATTTCAGTGGGCTCAAAGTGCAGCTTGCAGTGCATTCCAGCAACTCTATCCATGATTAGTAACATTGGTGGAAATCTTATGGGTGTTCACAAAAGGTGAGTGTAACTTGCTGTGATTAATTGTGGCTAATTGATGAGGAGTCAGGCTGTATCAGTGTTGTGCAACTGAGCACAAGAGTGCACATGCGGCTGAGATGAGCATTGATGCCACATCAACAGCAGTGGTAAGTTATGCAAACTTTATGTAGACACTAGTAGAACACTGGCCATTGAGTTCATCTGAATTTATTCCCAGATAAATGGGCAAAAGTATTTAGTCTTAATCCAATTTAATTCCCCCCCCTTGTGTTACTAGGGTAATTTACAGCAACACTTAAGTTATAAAAGTCCATATCTGGGCTTCAAATCTAAAAAATGACAATGACTATAAAACACCATTATCTAATCCATGGATTAGGGAACTATGTCCCTCCCAATGTTATTCTACAACACCCATCACCCCACACCATCAGTTATGCTGTGTAGAGTTTATGAAAACTGAAAGTCAAAACCCCACAAAGACCACAGTTATCTAACCCCTTGCTATATAATGTGTCCTCACTGGGAAACAGTCGGCCCACCATTCTCTCTAGCTCTGGGCAGATCAGTTTACTTGGTTTATAACAGAGGCGCTTGTGGGCCCTGTGACAACATTTTATATGACAAACCTGATGAAGACCTGCTTTGTTTTGCTAGGGCTGAGGCTCCCTCTTTTTCTGGATTAATTGTAGGAAGAAGCTGTCATTCTCCCTTCCCTGTTGTGGTAAAAGAGGCTGAAAAACACCCTGCAAATAGTCATTTATGACCTCTTCCTCCCTACCCCCAGGTCACGAAGGAGTGTCTCAAACCCTACCTCTGCTGGTGAATAAGCCATAATTGATGGCTGCAGTGGCAGAGAGAAAGAAAAATGCCTACTGCTTCCAACTGAGAAGCACAGGTGACTTGTGTGTTCAGTCAACAAGGAGAAAGAAGGCTCGCAGATTTCTCTCTCTCTCTCTCTCTCTCTCTCTCTCTCTCTCTCTCTCCCCCACCCCCTTAGTCCTCATCTAGAGTTAATGTATGAGCATTAGATTTGAGTTGTTGCAGGCTGTGGAGGAAGAAAGCCTCACTTTCTTCACAGTGAGGCAGATTTCGCTGGACTTGTCTTTACCTTAGCTGGAGAGCCTCCTGTGGTGCAGGCCAGCTTGAAGGTGAAGGATCAGCAACTGGGCCTTGAAAGAGTTAACCAGAGGCCCTGGTTCCCCCCCCCCCGCTCCTCCTGGGCTATTTGCAGCAAAACAAGAGTTTCTGAGAAAGGGCTGAGCTACCTGCGAGACTGGTGCAGGTGGGCTTTGTATTAACTCAGGGTTCAGCTTCCTGAGCCCCAGCTGTTGGCCTTGCCATCTAGCGTAAGGTGGTGGTTGTAGGGGGTTCATTAGGTTCCGAACTGGGGAACAGACTGTTTGCAATAGTCTGGCTTTTGGATTTCCTTCTCATTTCTTGGTAAAGTTTGCAGCAGCAAAGGCTTCATGGCCACAGAGGACGTCGACTGGCTGGACCTGCCAGGCAGGTGGACTTATGGCGTTTGCAGTGACGGGAGAATCTTCTTTATCAAGTATGTTCTATTCTCGCCCTTCTATTTCTGTTTTTTCCAGTTTGTCAGGCTGTGAGGGCATTTGCGAATGCTACTTTTTGGATCACAATTCCCACAATCCCCTAGCTTGGCTGGGGGATTCTGGGGGTTTTAGTTGCCAAAAGTAACATTTCCAAGCTGTTGTCTGGGGCAGTGAACAATGTGTAAAGACCAGTTTGCTGTATGTTTTGTCTCAGAGAGTACCTGTGCCTCTGTTGGGAATGAGATGAGCATGTGGAGAAAGGAAATCAGAAGCTTATCCAGCTGTTCCTCCCAAGAGAGGAGTGGAGGGGCTATCTTTAAGTTCATTGAAAAAGGAGAAGGGACCATTTTTACAAGTGACAATTACAGCCTGGTTCTTAGCATAATCACTTGGAAGTACAGTGTCATGGATTTTTAAAACTTGCTGGCAAATATCTTAAAGAATATCAGCCTGAAAATGAGTTCTGTGTTTCTTGTTTGTACAATCTGAATACAAAGTTTAACACTGGGGAAAGAATTGAGATTTAATCTTACATTGGCTATCTTCTGCTTTCTGTCTTGCATTGGTATTCATTCAATCTACATTTTGAAAAAGTCTTTAGCTTAACTTGGAAGAAATCTTGTAACAGGTTTTGACCAACCTGCTGCTCTTTCTTGTCCACCAGCTCATGTGGGATAGTGACACTCCTATGTGTTAATACTTTTGTCATACTTAATTGCTAATTGTGACCTTTGGCAGAGGTTGTAGGACCTGTACCGAGAGGATCAAGGTGTAGAACAGTCTATAAAGTAATATGCCGTGCATAATTTGCATTTCTGGCAGCCACAACAAAGCCCGCCAAAAACCTATGCAGCTATCAATGATGCTTTGTACGCCATTGCTATGGCATGACTTCTCTTGACCCTTGCTTTGTGCACACACAATATTGGGTCTTACATCTTCTTGTTTTATTTTATGTGTGTGCGTATTTTCCTTCACAGTGATGAATCAAAATCTACTTCCTGGACACATCCAGGCAGTGGCTGTCCCATCCAGAGTGGGCACTTCACCTGGTCAGGTAAGGAGACAACGGCCTCATGACACTGCTATTACTTCCATCTCCATACTTGACTTCTTGCTGCTGAATAGTTGGCCTACCTTGCAAAGACAGTCAGAACAGAAGTATCATGTAAAGACAAACCCTGTTAAGTATATGGCATCTCTCAAAGAAAAGTGAAACATAGATGTCAGGAAGAATCCAGGTTTTGAGCGAATATGATCTCAGTTTATGCTTTATAGGAAATGGTCTAATGTACTTCCTCCGTACATATGCAGAACTTTTTGTCTTGGGGTTTATGACTTTCACCTATGCAGGTAGACCAGGAAAGGACCACACATCATCCTTTCAGAAAGTTCAGGGAATTATTTAGATACAAAAGTCTCTACTTCAGATAAAGAATGCTTCCAGACAAAAAGAGTCTCTACTAGGGCTGATTGTATTTTACCTCAATTATTATGTGGTATCTTCCAGAACTCTCTTCTAGGAACTTTTGTTTAGTCAGCTAGTTGAGACTTGAGCTTGGGAAAGTTAATCTTTAGAATACAGCTCCAAGAAGCCCTATTCGCCATTCTCAGGAGTAAGGGATTATGGGATTTGTAGCCCAAAACATCTAGAGGGCCAGGGTTTCCTCAGCCCAGAGCAAGGGCAGTTTGTGCACCAAGTGGGAGTGACTCACCCATGAATTGGACAAGAGCTCCCTTTCTGTTCCATTCACGAGCTGCCTGTGGTCCTTAACAAAATCTTGCTCTCTAACAAAAGACAAGAAGCAGGCATTGAGTGTGTTTGGTTGCATCACAAAATGTAGCCTAGTGGTTGCACACATGCTAATGTTATCTCCTGAATGAATCATGGAAAAAGGCCACTCAATGTTATCAAGGTTTTAGTTCAAGCCTGCTTCTGTGGTTTGAACTACAAGGGAGTGAACTTGCTTTTCTCCACTGTTCTGGGCATCCCTTTTGTGCCGCCTCTGTGCTTGACCATTGCCTCACTCACTGGATCTTTCCAGCACACACAAATCCCACTGTATTTGTAGGGATTTGGTTTTAAGAGTGCCCTTCATTCAGGAAGAAGCAGTATAAGATGACAACTCCATAATCCTCTCCTGTGTACCACTTTCTCTATTTTGTTGAACTGAAAAATGATCAGGTTCCAGGAGAACATGCCTGGAAAGAAGCTAAAGCTGAGAACAAATCTCTTACTGCTCTTTCCCCCTTCAGATAGAAATAATGTGTGTGTACATAAACAGAGCCTGGGAAAGTTACTTTTTTTAGACTACTGCTCTCAGACTCTCCATCCCCAGTCAGCATGGCCACGAGGCAAGTAACTTTACTGAATTTTGTGCATAGACCGAAATGTTTCTTTCTCAGAGATTATTCTATTTTTAGAAAAGCTGTTGGAAATTACCAGCTTTGCTTTTTAGCACTGAGTCTATTGAGCAAAGTTAGTGTGTACAAAATACACACTTCATCCCCAAATGGATAGAAATGTTTCCATGACCTTTGAAATCTGCTTCAGGTACAAACTCTAGAAAACAGTTTCTTGCAATGGCTAGAGGCAGACATTAGAATAGATGGAATATTGAGGTTATATCTTTATAGGCAAGCCAAAAAGGTATTAAAAATGGGTGCAGATGCAAAAAGAAAATGCAAGATGAGCAGGAAAGGGAAGAGAAAATGGGAGAAGGCTGAACTTAAGTCCTTGCCGTCTGCAAGTTGTTTCAGAAGAAGAAATGAGCCTCGTCAGATGATACAGTAGCGTTCAAGTTCACTGTCATAGTCCATAGAATGACTGAGAGGCGCAAAGTTAAAAACATTAAGGTCCCCCCATTTTCACAGTGTATGTGGCTCACAATGGACTCAAGGCTACATACATCCTGTCTGGGCACATTGTTTGATTTCCTTGGTTGGAGGAAAACAGAAACCCATCAGAACAAATAGACTAGGGAATATATGGTAACAATCATGTGCTTATAACACTTTTAAGTTCTATGGGTCTTTTTGCTTAAATGTCTGTTGGTGAACCTGGCAAACACAATTTCAAAAAATGAGTCTTGTCTTATTTACAATTATAACAGACAATACGAGCAATTATAACAATAAAATGCTACAGTTTGTGCACCCAAGTCCTCAGGAGCAACACCAGTACAGATGTTGCTTGTAGAATTGCAAAGTTCCAGTGCCCCTTTGAATTCAAATTATTGCAAAAATCCAAGAAATTTTCCACAACTAGGTTGGGTGTCCTTAACACAGAAAAATGTGTTCCATTTGAAGAATCTTCCAAACCCTAGACCAGTAGTGTCTAACCTTGGCCC